AACAATACACTGTGTATGCCATAAAAATGGTACTCTACAACAGCAGTTTAGAGGTTTCTAAAAGAGTGGCTTATGACAATATTCTTCCTCACATACATCACATACTTGAGAGAGACTTTCAGTATGTCTGGGGATTTATGCTTCAGTATTTATGTAAGTGTATCCAAAATGAAAGGGTAATATTTTAGAAATTAGTAATATTAATACATACATGCTAACTGTAGCTGAAGCGTTTTATAGCATGAGAAGGGTAACAATAACTTGTTTCTATTTCAAACACATATTTAATCCAAAGATCTTATTCAGAGTTTAGTCAGCAAGCAAAGCTATTTAAAACAAATTCTTATTCCTGTATGAAATTACATTGGGAATATTAAAATGTTCTCTTATAGTGACATGCCATTTCGAGATAGATGCTTTCAATTTCTATATACTTCACCAGGGACATGCATCTGCAGTTACAAGAATTAATGAACTATAAATTCACTTCTCATTTAAATGAATGCATGTTTCAGTATGTCTTGAGACCTTACGCATCTTGCTGCAGCCTAGCACGGAGAAATTGCAGCAGCTGTATTAAATTTTACAACCAGTCTACTGTGAAGAGAACAGGGCCAGTTCATCTGTAGTTTTTCTGAGGGAAGAAAATCTCAGCCTGTGCACAAATTCCAGGATTGACTGTGTTAGTGTCATGTATGGCTCTCTTCCACCTTTTACAAGACTTATTAAAAGTACTCATTTCTGGTGGAGTTATTTTCCAAATGGCCACATAATGTTCAGTACTTCATGCAATAACAAAAGTTCTGGTCATTATGTCTCATTTTCACAGTTTCATTTTTCCAGTTTTATAAACCTGAGATTCTCCAGATAGGTCCCAGTGGGATTCTATCTGCTAGGTACAGCTTTGTCATGCCAATGTACTGCAATCAATATCTGCTTTCAAGTACCCTGAAGAAGAAATGTAGCAGAAATAGTTTTCTATCTGAGTCCAAAGTCTCATCAAGCAAAGGCTTAGCTTCTTGGTACATTCCCAACTGAAGCACTGCATTCCAAAATACTATTAGAAGCACAGCGTAAGGAAAACACATATGCTTCTTTCTCAGCAGAAATAATTTCATTTTTCAGTCTGAGTACCACTAGATAGTCTTTTAAGAATGTGCATTATGAAAGGCACAGTCACACAGCAATGAAACCTATGTTCCTTCATCACACATGTTCTTTCAAAAATCTTATTTCTGCCAATTACCAGAAACAGCAGCAAAGGACTTAAAAGCAACTCCCCAGTGCTTAGCTGCCCTCCACTCCAGAGGAAGAGAGTAGAATCTAGCCCAACAGTCATTAATTTCCACTTTACAAGTAATTTGTGTGGCATAGATATTTTTATGCTCTAAATGTGACTGCTTGTTTGAGTTCCACCATGTAGCACTCATTAACTTCAAGTCAAAGCAATTACTTGTCTAGTACAGAATCTTGTTGGAGGACGTTAAGTCTGGTTTTCTAGGGAGATGAGACTTACACACGTGTGTGTTTGTGTATGATCTCGCTGCCCCTTTCCCCTCCAAATCCTTTGCTACTGAATCTGGCAGTGCAATCAGTAGAGATGTTTGCAGTACCAGTTTCTTACAAATATCATGAAAACATGCAGCCAAGATGTGGAGGGAGAACAATTAGAGCTCCAGCTGGAGGAGAAACTGCAGCAACACTCAGAGAATCCAGCCATGAGCTGTGAAGCTCAAGGAGTGGCTTACCTTAGTTCAGCTGCCTCAGAACTGAAATGCCTTGTCCCCTCAACGTGCTAGAGGCCATTCATGCTGCAATCACAGTATTTTGACTTTTCTGCTTGTCTTTAAAGTGCAAATTAAATAGCTGCAAACATTTTCAACACTTGTGAGCCTTCTGCTCACCACAGGAAAATGTGCAATTCCATATGGGCAAGTAATTATTTGGATTTAGCTTTTTCTTGTCTGCATACTTCAGAGAGCACTCCAGATACTTTTAAAATCTAATTTCTTCAAATACATAAAGGGAAAATAAAACGAAATTTAAAGATGTGCAAAATAAAAATTCCTTTCTTTTAGATTCTGAGCTAAGAAGTTTGTGTCAGAATAGATCAAATACTAAAGTCCTCTTTTAAAAAAATTTTTTTTAATAAGGGTTTCCCTGCTAGAAATAAAAAAGCCATTTAATATACTTTCTTTTCTGCTAGAATTACAAATATTTCATATTGTCCTCATCTCAGAGTTTTACTATATTTTTCTGATGATGCCTTAGAAGGTGATTAGAAAATTATGAGATACTAAACCAGTAACAGGCAAAGAGACGTCAGAGACTTGTTATGTTGCAATCAGCCTAGAGACACACAAGTTTTCAGATCACTGAAAGCCCAGACTGCAGCAAGAAGCCAAACTCTGAGGCTTGTGTGGCCTTCTTTGCCCCAGTGCCACGGGTGCTGTGTTTGCCTTGTGTGCCAACCACCCCCACACGGTGACTGTTTGGAAACTACAACCACTACAGCAAAGTACAGTAGCCTATGTCTCATTTTGCTTATTCCCTGCACAAGTGAAAGCCTGGGAAAGGAGCCTGTGTCTATAACAAGGATCAGCAGCCATTAGATGGGAATTGAACACAGCAATTCCTGAAATAACTTCACTGCTAGGACCATTCATGAGACCATTCACTGCTAGTACCTTCCCAATGTGTTCTGTGCAATTCAATCTAGGCACCTATTTCAGTAACTGTGACAATTTCTTGGACACTTAGGTCCTGAGCTTTATGGGCTGTGTAGATGTATAGAATCTGTAACACCACAAAGACCTGCAGTAGTAAATGGGAACTGTGAAATAGAGCACAGTGCTAGAATGAGTTTGTATCCATTGCAATGCTAAGTAATGTAAACACCTCTAGGAAAAGCGTCTAGATGTAAATCAGCAAACTTACTAAGCTTTTCATAGCAAAGAGTCTTTATTTCATCATCTAAATATTTGACAATAGATTTTTTCCCCATATAAAAGTTCTTAAAATGTTAATGCCTAGTGAATTCCTGGAATATAGTATCAGATGTAGCTGAGCTACTCCTTGGCAGTGGCTGCCAGTTCATAGTTTGGAGCGCTCTCCAGGTAGTGTTATGACTCTTTTCTAGAGACTTGCAAAAACAACACACCAGGGCTGGCCTGGCCAGCATCTCTATACTGACACCTCTAATAGAGTTTCTTTTTTTCTTTCTTGAACCCAATTTCTGGGTTCTGAGGTAGATAATGAAGGCTGGAGCTGCATTAAAGAGTCTTATATATGGCATGTAATAATAATGTTCATCCATGCAAAGAGGTAGGAAGAGACAGACCCTGGAGCATCCATCTCCTCAGCATTCATTAGCTGCTGTTAGCATAGATAGCAAAAGAACAGATTTCGCTGTACAGTGGCTTGAAAAGTTTTTAAGAGGTGCCTACTTTCCAAATGGAAATCAATATAGCCAAGGACCTGTAATGAATCTAGTGAGACAGGTGAGCAACAAGAATGAGGTTCACTTCACTTCTGGTTGTTAATCAGGAACAAAACCAGTAGTATCAAGCCCAGTTACTCTGAGGTCACAGAAAACTGGTGACAGGAGAAAAGCTGTGAAGTTTTGGGGGTGAAATAGTCCTTTCTTGAGGGATAGATTTGTCTCATGTATTCTTCAGCCAGTCAAAGAACATATAACCCATTTTGTTTCTTCCTATTCTAGTGCTGATGAAAGATTTGATGCTACATTTCACACTAATGTTTTAGTCAATTCTTCAGGACATTGCCAATACCTGCCACCAGGTAGGCTGCTTGCATGTCATGAATTTTGATTACTTATACAGGGCATGGTTTCAAATGTGACATCAATTCTCTACCATACAATTATGTCAGTTCTTCTGTCATAATGCACAATTTCAGAAGCTTGGAAGTATTAAAAAAATAGAAAATAAAAGTTCTAAATATAAAAAGATACTGTTTATCAAAGCCTCTTAATAAAAACTTCTTTCATTAATGTAGCTGTTTCCTTTATTAATACATTAGCTTTACAATAAGATGCTTAGTAACATCTTGGATATATTTCTGTTTGAAGTGATTCACTGGGTGCTTCATCAAAACACTTTTTAGCCTGATGGGAATGTACCCTGTATTTGATACTTGATCTATGACTGACTCTCTGGATGTATAGCAGTGGAGTAATACTTCTGTTCCCCAACTCAATTAGCATAATTATTCGAATTAACTCTCCCTAGAATCTGAATTTTGGAAACTGCAACAGTAGAGCCAAGTGTCTTCCAGAGAAACTATTTTTTCCACCTAAGATCCCCAAAGGATTTCAAGGGTTTGTCTGTTGTTCTTTTGATTTAAGATGCTCCATTTGGTGGAGGCTTTTCAATTCAATTTTGAAAGCTGCTTTTGAAAGCTGCCTGACTCAACAAATGAAAAATAAGAAGCTAGATCTCCTGAATAAATCAAGACCATATAAATCTAATAACAGAGCAAATAATATTTCAGGATTTCTTACTTTAGTCAGTAAAAGAAATAGAAACAGATTGCGTATTCTGCTTCATTCTGAAATATCATAGCTAGAAATCTGAGCTCTTCTCTATATATTCTCCCACTATGTGCCAAAACTGAAATGTAGATCAAAAATAGTTTATAACATCAGTACATAAATGGTACCACTCTTTTCCCTTTTCTGTGACTGACTTCTGCTCTTTCCATGTCAACACACGACTGAGATTAAATATGCTTTACAAGCAAAAAACAGAAGGCACAATGTAGAACAAGTTCAGGTTACAAAACGCACATGAGATTATGTGGATCAAGTATTAAATTAAGTGTTCTTGTTTAAAATCCCATCTAGGCATATTTAAAAGCTCATGCTACATAGATGTGCGCTGGTTTCCATTCGATGTTCAGAAATGTAACCTGAAGTTTGGATCCTGGACTTATGGAGGATGGTCCTTGGACTTGCAAATGCAAGAAGCAGATATATCTGGCTATATTTCAAATGGAGAGTGGGATTTAGTAGGTAAGCTCTTGATTTCTTATCTACACTGTGAACTTGCAGCCTCAGCTCCACTGCTGAAATGGATGGAATAACAATTGGGAAATGAAGACAGAAATGAAATGAATATATGTCCTAGTTAGCAGCATTTGAAACTCTGAGAACAGATGTGAGATACAAATCAACTTAAAAAAAAAAGATGACAAATTTTCTACTTGAATTCTGTAAGCATCATTTTTCTGTTTTTCCTTTATGATCTGAGAAAAAAATTACTTAATTGTGAATTAAGCTTAAAGAAGTAGTTTTACCTATAAGTAAAATAATCACTACATAATCATAGAATTTAAGGGTTGGAATGGACCTTACAGATACCCTCCCCTGCCATTGGCGGGGACACCTCCTCACTAGATCCGGTTGCTCAAGGCTTCATCCAGCCTGGCCTTGAACACCATCACGTCCCTGGGCAACCTGTGCCAGTGTCTCACCACCCTTACAGTAAAATACATTTTTCTCACATCCAACCTAAACTTCCCCTCCTTCAGTTTGAACCCATTAGCCTTGTCCTATCATTGCAGTTCCTAACAAAGAGTCCCTCTCCGGCTTCCTTACAGCTTATTCACATTAATTCCTTGTTTTCTTCTTCTTTCCTCCTATATAGGAGTTCCTGGGAAGAGAACTGAGAGCTTTTATGACTGTTGTAAGGAACCCTACCCAGACGTAACCTTCACAGTGACTATGAGACGTAGAACTCTCTATTATGGACTCAATCTCCTGATTCCTTGTGTACTGATATCAGCACTTGCTTTGTTAGTTTTTCTGCTTCCAGCAGACTCTGGAGAAAAGATCTCCCTAGGTAAGTTATTAATTGTCAATAATATTGTCAATATGACTAAACCAAAAGACGTTGTCCTTTGAAAACTTTTTTAAACAGTGTTAGTAGGCAGGAGGAATAGCTTGTCCCCCCTGTTCTGGCTGAGGAACCAGTTTTGCTGAGGCTGACCAAGCAGAAGCATGACAATCCTTGACTTACTTCCTTAACAAGCATTTTTTGACATTTATTTGCTGAAGAAAAATCCCACATTCATTAAGTAAAGCTCATTTCCAAATATTCATTTGAACACTAACATTGAATTCTTAGTGTTTCCTTTCAACAGTGAGTTGTATTAAGAGCCTATGGTGCCTTCTCAGAAAGGTTGATTCAAACTGATCCTATTCTAAATTTTATAGTGAATTTTAACTTAAGTATTGTTTTGTGAAACAAATCTGATGGTTTTGAGTACTTGATCTTTAAGACAGAGATCAAATATGTAAAGAAACCTTTTGTCCCATACAAAAATTCCAAAGCACTGGCTTCTGCTAAGTGAATATGACTGTATAAAGGTAGAAACAAAACTGACATTTCTCCAGACTGTGGTTTAATTGAGTAGTAGCCTCTCTAACCAAGTTGTTCCTCCCCATATTTTAAGATGAATTCTTTGTTTCTAGATCCTTTCCCACCTGACAACAGCTCCTTATGGTTTAAGACTAGTCCTGAGAATAGAGTGAAGCCTTTTTCCAGAAAGACTGAAACTCATCACTGAGCAGCAGAAGTCAAACTCCAAAAATCAACAGTCAAGACTGCTTGGGCATAGCCACCTGCAGAACTCAACAGCTAATATCAAAAGATATCAAAATCTGTCCAAGACAGCAAATCAGTCTTTGAGGAGTATTATGTGCGTTACACCATCTGTAGCTTCCATGACAATCAAGTGTCACATGCTCAAATACTCAAAATCACACCATGTTTCTAAAGCAAACATGTTGCAAGAATTATTTTGATTTATCTAGGCTTATTAGCAAATGGTGGTAAAATGTGAACAGTTACAAGGGTCTAAAAATATCCCATGTCTGTGCAAGCACTGGTCCTCATTTGGCAGCACTGCTACCCTGAGCTTGCAGCAGTACAAGAAAGGATAGGAGTACCACTAACTGACATGCTGATGCCAGCAGTGAGATAGCATCTTGCAAGGAGCACTCCTTCAGGTTCATTTTGTTCCTCTCTGTGTTGTAATTGCAAGCTACTGATCTAATTTCCTACTTTGTGTTTATCTTTCAGGTATAACTGTTTTATTGTCTCTCACAGTCTTTATGCTGCTTGTGGCTGAAATTATGCCAGCAACGTCTGACTCTGTGCCCTTAATTGGTAAGTGTTTATTCCCTTGGATGGTTTTGTCCAGCAAGGTGCAGTGACTTTGCACAAAGACCAGCAGTAAGGCACATCACCACCTGTACAATGGACAGCTGCAGCTGAAGTAGAAAAATGCTGCCAGTTGATGAGAGGGTCTGATGGGTTCTCTTTGCTCTGAATGAAATAGAGAACCTATGTGTATTTTGGGAAAGCATAAGGGAGTCAATTTTCCGTGGAAGTTGCTGTTGACAATTGCAATTAGGAATTCCAATTAGGAATCTAGAGCTGAACATATTTAAACCTTCCCATTGTAATTGTTCAAATAAGAGAAACTTTTCAAAAGAAGTACTGGCCAGTCTCTACAATACTGCTGAAAGAAAGGTAGGAGACAATTTTTTTCTAGGTTGCTTAGAAAAGACAGGTGCTCAGTTCCCCAAAAACACTTGCTGAAAGCTGGCTATCCCCCCAAAGTGACAGCTGATCCTTCTGCTGTTGAGAAGTCATTCAAAAGTACCTAAAGTACCACATGTATTACTACACTGGAAAAAGAACTAAATGCTATGTATGCATGTACAGAAATACCCCTTATAAAAAAAGCTGTATCAGCTAAAGTATGTTGCTGTAATTATCTGTTTATTTTGCAGCTCAGTATTTTGCCAGCACTATGATTATTGTTGGTCTTTCTGTTGTTGTCACTGTTATTGTTCTACAATACCATCATCATGATCCAGATGGTGGAAAAATGCCTAAATGGGTAAGGTTTGATTTTTTTCCTTCATTGTCCATTGCATAAATGACCAGATAAGAGATGCGACAGAATAGCTGGTGACCCGTGGTTATTTCTTACTGTTAAAAACATAGAAATCCTTCCTAAACATTTTGTTTGGAAAAGTAGTTTCACCAGGAATGAGATATCCAGACATGTTTTGTGTGGTTGGCTTCTTTAGAGAAGGTGTGGGTGTGAAATGAATATACCTCAGCTAGCTTCTCATTTCCTTCAAAAGAGCTAGAAGCAACTCAGGATTTTGCTGAAACCTAAATATATAAATAAAGATGATTTTCAAATAAGCTCCAGATGTCAGGAGTGAAAGAAGCAGAAGAAAAGAGTAAGGTGCTAATGGAGATGATAAATGCATGAAATAAACTATTCTCAAGGTGCAACTGTGCAGCTGCTACGTATTTAGCTGCTGTCCATACACAGACTTTGTCAACAACGGATGTTACAGAGGAAGTGAAGCTTGCTCTGAAAATCCTGATCTTTATAGCTCTGTTGAAGAACATCTGTAATGAGCAAAGAAAAATTAAAGTCTTTTTCTAAGCACAGAAGATTTTCTTTATAATGTACTTCTATGAGTTGTTTTTACAGAGAGCATTGTGCTGATATGGGAGCACAACATATTGCTGTGCATCGTGAGCTAACTGTCCCCTCTTCTGACTTCACCCAGCTCACAGCAGCATCAGGCATTTCTGAAGACCTTTCTCCTTTTTTCTCTCTAGAACAATGAGTTATTTTTATCCTCCCTAGCCAAAAAGAATGTGCATGCAGCAGTGCCCTGAGGACAAGAGATAATGAGATATTCCCTGGCCTATTCTGGGGTAGTGACTTTTAAATAAATTTCAATGAAGAGAATAAAAGGTTTATATCTTTAGACGTGTGTTTGATGATCGAAAGGGGACAAATGTTTAGTACGAAGCCAAACATCTTCAGAAAACAGTACTTGAGGTTGAGGAGTGAGCTGTAGTGTTGAGAAGCTAAAGTCTCACAAACATTATTTTGGATACTGGTGGATTTTGGATCAGGCCCTCAGTTAACAGAATATTATCCTTCTCAGTGAAACCTGATAGTGTGAAGAGCGTAACAGGACAAGATCTGTCTCTGATGGGGATGTTTGTCTGGGTATAATATCTGCTCTGAGTGGCAATCCACAGTCAGAGTAAATGAACCAAATCTAATATTAATTATGGTATAAGATTTGCAGATTATACAAGACAGTAAGATTTCATTAGTGCTCTGGAAAAGAAATGCTGGAATGAGCTCTTAAATCTGATTGAAATAAATTACAGGAGCTTGCATCTGAGCTGGAACATCGCTGGCTTGCCTGCACTCTCTGTAAGGCTGGATTAAGGCAATGTGGAAGACAATGAAATGATGCACACTGATTAAATCTGCAAAGTATTCTTTTAAATCAAAGTAATTTTTCCATCTTTTCACCATGTTATATCTAGATCTGTTTTCTAAAATCTGTAATCAACTGTCATGAATGCAACATGAGAACAGGGCCAAAATGTAAAGCCTGGTGGTCCAGACCAGTCCCGTATAGAATCTTTTAGCAGCCCCCTCCAAAAAGTAATGGCATGTGAATTTAATATTAGAGCCTAAGTATCAGTAAACGAATTGTAAATTTATGGATTACAATTACAATTACAAAGGAGAGCTAATAAGACTATTGAAAATATACCTCTTCTTCAGTAAGTGTTTTGTTTAGTTTTGTTTAACCCATGGTTTCTGCTAAAGGTGAATAGTGATACTGCAGCCTTTTCCAAGTGTCAGGAAAAATGAACTGAGCACTCTGGAGACTCCCATCAGGGGAGGGAGGTGTCCCTATACTGGTAGTCAGCCTGAGGCAATCGACAGCACTGCTAGAATAAGAAACCAGCCTCAGTGATTGGCAAATTAATCAGCTGGAATACTCTAGCACCATTTTCTAGAACTCCTGTGCAGACTAAGCAGAGACCACAGAGCAGACAGTCACCCAGGCTACATGAATGCCAACAGCACCCATAGACAGTGGCTGTGTCAAGGGATGCTTACTCTCTAAAATTTCCTTGCAGACAAGAATCATCCTCCTGAACTGGTGTGCTTGGTTTCTGAGGATGAAGAGACCAGGGGAAGACAAAGTGCGTCCTGCCTGTCAACACAAACAGCGTCGATGTAGCCTATCGAGTGTGGAGATGAACACTGTGAGTGGACAGCAATCCAGTAATGGGAACATGCTATACATCGGGTTTAGGGGGCTGGACGGGGTTCACTGCACACCTACCACTGATTCAGGGGTGATCTGTGGGAGGATGACCTGCTCACCAACTGATGAAGAAAACCTGCTGCACAGTGGCCACCCCTCTGAAGGTGACCCTGATCTGGCTAAGATTTTGGAAGAGGTCAGGTACATTGCCAACCGATTCAGAGACCAGGATGAAGAGGAAGCCATTTGCAACGAATGGAAGTTTGCAGCCTCTGTGGTGGATCGGCTCTGCCTGATGGCCTTTTCAGTCTTCACAATCATTTGTACAATTGGTATTCTAATGTCAGCACCAAACTTTGTAGAGGCTGTGTCTAAAGATTTTGCTTAACTCCTAACTAAAATCTGCTTCTCTGAATGGTATGTAGCAAATAAGAACGTGGGGTTTTTCGATCGCTTGTTTTTAATGAGTATACTGCTTCTCATTGTCTGTTTTTCTTTTCCCTCCCATCTCTGGTCCTGAGTTCCTTTTGGAAGAGTGGCACCATTTTGGCAGGGAAGCCCAGGATTTCTCCCTGGGCTGCCTGTGCACAGCTCCTCTGAGCACTCCTTTGTGGAAAAGGCAAAGCAGCTCTAAGTCCCTTTAGAATGACAGTGTATTGCACCACCATCTCTTACACATTTTTGAACTATTACAAAATAAGGGTAGGCAATGCCAGAAATGTCACTTCTTCCAGACTTTGTTACAAAAGATAGCATGTAGTCCATCCTAACAGTTTGAATAAGTGATCATAAACACTTATGTTTAGAAGAGGATTAAATCCAAATGGGTGCTCAGACAGCAGAGAGAAAAAGGAGAAATAGTTTGCTTCTTGGTTACTGCTTCTTACTGAGTTGTATGTAGCTCCCCGGCTCACTCATACCCAGTCAGCCTGTAACTCCCTCCATGCACTTTGCATAGACCATATATGAATTTCAGAATTCTGAACTTGTCTGAGACAGCAGAAACCTGAAAGTTAAGAGGACACACCACGTAACATGTCCTCCCATATCTTTCTAAATTTGACATAGAAGTTTGGCCTGAATTCTGAAACAGGCTTCACAGTAATTTTTGCAGTGTTTACTACTTCTTCCTTCTCCCCAGAAAGACATTCTGTCAACTGATGACCTGTTTAACTATGAAAAAGAAAATGATCAATTTATGATCCCTTTATCACCACTTGTTCAAAAAAACCCCAACAACCCCCACACTTGTCTCTTTGCTGCCAACTGGATTCCAGTGTGGAAAAAGTAACTCAGTGTCTTGTACAGGCTTAAGCATAAATGAAGAATCTAAAGCAAAAAGAAGCCATTGAATCCCAAAATCCAGGTTTGAATTTAAAATCTCCATGTTTAATCTGTTGTACGCTTAGCCTCTTACAGAACCCCTTCTGCTGAGTCACCAGAATGTTGTCTTTACAAGAAAACTGCACCCTTTCTGCTCAGTTTATCATCAGATGAGTACTAATGAATAATAATAAAGCTTCTTGGGTCTGATATAAACTACAAACTGTATAAATATATATTCCTATATACACACTGCATATATATCCAAGGAAAGGTTAAGACTTAAATCAAATTCTCCTAAGTCTAGACAGACATTTGCAAAGGCAAAGCTAATAGTTCATCACTTTGTGTTATTTCTGATTCTGAAATTCTTTTGTCAAAATATGCTTAGTTTTGATATGACTTTGATGTCTTTAATGAAAGGGGCTGAGTGAGAATACCAGGACCTGAAACTCTGTGTGTACAAACCAGATGAGAATTAGTCCCTTGCTGGCACACCAGTATTCCTAATCAGTGATGTAAGTGGTAAAAGATATGGGGAAGGATTACTTTACACTGACTGCTTGCTTTATCCTACAGAACCCCAATTCTTTGGCTGAGTCAGAGAGATGAACAGAGGCCTCTTGTTGTACGTTTTTACTGTGAAATAAACTCAAGGCCTCAGTTTCTCTCTTAAAATGGATTAAAATAAAGTGACTGAAATGCATATTCTCCCTAGGTAACAATTTCCCTTTCAAAGTCCGCTCCTCTGAAAGCAGGAGAATCAAATTTCATGTCAACCAAACCCAGAGTGACCAGAGGTACAGTCCACCAGTAACACTGAGTGCTCACTTTGCACAAGCACCTTTATGCACCTGAGATAGGGCAGGAGGAGTGAAAGGAAGGCAGAGTATTTCTGACAGTTTGTAAATTCTGTCTTCTGGAGGTTCATTTAGAATCTCACACTGCAAAGACACAAGCAAAACATTCAAAACTTTCTTGAAAGCTCACCTTGAGACCATGTCTTAGAATTATCTGTGAAGAAATTAGGCTTTCCAGAACAAGCATTAAGAATAAGCCCTATAATATTTCCTACAAATAGTTTCTAGTTTGTAGTTTGCAAACGAATGGGAAACTATGAGTCCAAAGTCTGGAATGTGAGTTCTGTTCATTTGTGAATAGTGACACATATCATGAGGCATGTGCTGCTCTTCTGAGTAATGTTTCTAGGCTTCCT